AAATTAAACTTATTTTAACTGATGTATAAAAATATAAAATGTGTATCTATTCTTGGGATGTCATCAGGTGTTTCATTACATGCTCATGTGTAATTTTTTATGTTGTGCTGAGGGTGAACTCAAAGCCTTATTCAGGATAGGTAAGTGCTCTATCGTCAAACTATAGCCCTGTGTAATGTTTAAGTCAGGTAAACATTTATCTCTTCCAACATTTGCCATTCAAAAATCCCATTTTTGTTTTCTCTTTGCAGTGTTAGGGGTGGAATCCAGAGCTTGGCACTTGCTAGGCAGGTGTTCTGTCACTTTGCCCCTCCCCCAGCCACCCTTCTATCTCTTAGAAATGTACTTCATGTTGGCTCTGCCTTTGTGTTTTTACTTTACATGAATGCTGTTCTGTAGAGGCCATTCTGCCCTTGCCCGTTTCCATCCTCGTTGTGCCAGCATCTGCCCATGGTGCTGTCTTATCCTTGTTCATTCCTGTTTTTCCTCTCATCTCCCTAATGATGAATATTCAAGTTGGCTACACTCTAGTCTGTACAAAAATGTCCTGATGACATTCAGAGATATCTTTACTTGATTTTTTAAAAGATTTGCAAACGTAAAATATTATAGTAAACCTTGGGAATATGGGCTTTTAGGTGCAAATCATGCATTTATATAGTATTCGACCCGTAGAGATCATTTAGTTTAATCATTTATATTCAGTTTTATATTTTTGTTGATCTTGTTAATGTTCTCTTTGGGGGACAGGATATCACGTACCCTGGGCTAGCTTTGAACTCACTGTGTAGCTGAGATTGGCTTTGACCTCCTCATCCTCCGGCCTCATTCTCTCAAGTGCTAGGATTACAGGCGTGTGCCACCATATATATATTTTTTTCTTGTGGTGTGTGTATGTGTTTGTGTGTGCATGAGGGTGTGCATGTGTACATGTGCACGTGAAGGTTAGAGGTCAACCTTTGGAGTCTTCCTCAGTTCCTATCCACTTTTTTTGTTTGCTTTGAGATAGAGTCTCACTATGTAACCCTGGCTGGCCTGGAGCTCACTATGTAGATCAGGCTGGCCTCCATCCCACAGAGATCCCCCTACCTCTGCCTTCCAAGTGTTGGGATTAAAGGCATGTGCCACCACAACTGGCTGCACTTTGTTTTTTGACACAGGATCTTTCACTTTACCTGCAGCTCACCAATTAGGCTAGTAGCAGGCCCCAGGGATCCTGCCTCTACCGCTCCAGTGATGGAATTACAAGCACACATCATTTGCCCAGATTTTTGTATAGTTCTGAGGATCAAACTCATGTCCTCATGCTTGCGTGACAAGTACTTTGTCCTTTGAGCCATATCTCAGCCCTATTGTTCATTGCCTTTTAAATATGAAAATATATCTTCACTATAAGTCAAGTTGTGTCGAAGTATATGTGGAAAAGAGGAAAAAAAAATTGATTTTGGCAGTCACTTACAGAACTTCTGTGGTTAGGACTGTGGCTTGCCTGCTTTGCTGAGTTATTCACAAGAGTATAACTTTTCCTCCTCTTTTTCTTTCTCTTTTAAAACATTTTAATTAATCCCTTGAGAGTTTAATACAACATATTTTGATCATATTCCCTCCATCTCCCAACTCCTCTCAGATCCACTCCTCACCTCCCTACCTACACAACTTCATCCCCACCCAATCCTCCCATTGAGTCCAATTTGTGTTGACCAGATACTCTTGAATCTGGAACCTATGTAGTTGAACAACCAGGGGCCAAAACTCTTAAATAAAACTGACTCTTCCTCTCCCAGCAGCTGTCATATATCATTAGCTCCTTAGCTAGAGCTGGGTCTTCATGCCCTCTTCTACCTTCTGTGCTGGACTTTGTCTGGCTTCAGCTTGAACAGGTCTTGTGTGTGCTGTGACTTCCTGTGTGCCACTGCCCTGCTGTCTGGAAAACATTTTTTCCTTGTAGTCACCTACTACCTCTGGCTCTTACTGTCTTTTTGGCTCCTCTTATGTGAAGATCCCTAAGGGGAGGGGGTGTGATATAGATGTTCCGTTTAGGATTGGTATTCCATAGACTCTCATTTTCTACATGTTGACCAATTGTGGGTCTCTGTGATAATTGCCTTATGTGAGAAGAAACTTCTCCGATGAGGGTTGAGAGATGCATTAATTTATGAGTATGGCAATAACTCATAGGAGTCATTTTAATACTATGTGCATTTAGTAGACTATTAGTAGCATACTGTCTTTCCCAAAGCTCCCGCCCCCTTCCACCATGTGGCTGCTTACGAAGGCACGGTTTTCTCTCTTCCTCTTCTCCGTCTTCCTTCTCCTGGGAGCTGCTGAAGTTTACAATTTGCCTGCCCTACTGCTTTTCTCTCAAACTGTGATAAAATCACCCTCAAGATTAAATTCAACAGAAATTCATCTTCTCTAGCCCTGTCCTGAGCACGTGATCTGACTTTCATCACCACCTATTATTTTTTGCCTTTTCTTTAAATTCATTTAAGTGCAGGAATCTCGAGTGTGCGCTTCTGTTTGGCTCCATGTATTCAACTTGATTTTGGGCTTCTTTGTGCTGCTATGACAGTTCTTCACTGCACATGAGTAGTTCAGTGCAGCAGTGTGTATAGTCACCTGTGAATGAAGACTTGAAGTATTTCCAGATTTAAACTGTCATCTTAATGTCTTCATGAAGATTTGTGTTCAAGTCTTTGTGAAGACATTTTCACGTCTCCTGGGTTACGTCTGAGAGGAGTAGAATTACTAGGTACTTCAACAGCTGTGTGTCTGTTTTGCAGAATGGATGCTCCGTTTGTACTCTCTCCAGGAATGCTAGAGTTTCTAGTTGCTCAGGAATGCCTGGTACTGTCACTCTTTTTAATTTTAACCATTCTAGTAGATAGTAGATGCTTGTGTGTGTGCGTGCATGTTCATGCTTTATCTTAATATATTTCTTATATCAGTTTCAGGTGTACAAAACAATTGTTTGAAAAGTGCAGTGAGTTACTATGTAGTCTCATCCCAGTTTCTTCTATTATTAACATCTTTCATGCAGGTGCACTTGTGTGACAGTTGATGGGCTAGTGTTTATTGATTATTATTGAATAAAGTTCACAGTTTACATTGGGGCTTACTCTTGGTGGTGTTCATTCTGAGTTTGAGCAAGTGGGTAGAGACACAGGTATAGCACTAGCGTGGGAATCCCACAGAGTGGTTTCATTGCCCTAAAAGTCTTCTGTGCTCCATCTGTCCCTCCCTTTCCCCATCCTCTGATGCCCACTGATCGTTTCTTTATTGTTGACAGTCTTGCTTTCTGTACAGTGCCATAATTGGCATCATGCAGCAAATGGTCTTTCCAAGTGAACTTCTTTTACTCAGCAAAATGCACTTAAGTTTCCCTGGTCTTTCTGAGTCTCCAGAGCTCATTTCTTCTTAGCATTTAATGGTATCCCATTAGACATGCCAACTTTTGTTTATCTATTTGCCTTTTGGAGGCTACCCTGGCTGCATCTAGGATTGGGCAGTTATGAATGAAGCTTGCAAAAATTCATGTGTGTTTGTTTGCTAAGGACAGAGGCTAAGCTAGAGAGGGACTTTTGTTCAGTCACCTGTTTTCTCTGAAGTGTTTTAATGTCCCCTCAGCTCTTTCTGAACCTGCCAATTCTGTCGCTGTAGAGAGCAACCTCTGGATTCTCTCCTGACCTAGTCCTCCTGACCTCACCCCAACCTTTAGAGGAACCTATTGCTTTAGTTCCTAGACCTCCTGGGGCCCCAGGATGCAAAACTGCATCTTTTTAATTTTCTTCTTCTATATTACCCTTGGGCTTCTATTTTAGATATTTTTGGTTTTTTACTAGTTATAAGTTGTCCAATCCATGTTTTCATTTCCAGTTTTGTTGATCTTTTTTATTCCAGTGCTGGAGACTGAACCCACGACTTTGTGCTTGCTAGGCAAGCACTCTCCCACTGAAAGAAATCTCCAACCCCTTAATCTATTGTGATAATAGTTCTGTTTGTCTTTTCTGCTCTGTTTAATGAAAGACCTCTGGCTCATTCTTTTTTAAAATTTTATTTTATGTGCATGAGTTTTTTTCTCTGGATCTAGATAAATGTACCATGTGCATGCAATACCCATGGAGGACCGAGGAGGGTGTCAGATCCCCTGAAAACTGGAGTTACTGAAGGTGGCTTGCCGCCATGTAGACCTGGGTCCTTTGCAAGAGCAGTAAGTGCTCTTAATCACTGAGCCATCTCTCCAGCCCCCTGACTCATTCTTTTAAATGGTAAACTAGGATATGAATATATTGTGTTGAAGCCCCTTTTCTCTGCTGGTGGACTTTCAGGCTGCTTCCGTATGTTCATTTGCTGTTTCCTCTAACCCTGGTACTCAAACTGAGATCCTCCTCCATCTTTTCTTTTATGCTGGCTTCTTTTATTTCTCCAAAAATTCCCATATGTGAGATTGTAGGATCAAAATGTGTATGTTTTACACATTAAAGGGATACTGTCAGATTAATTTTTCAGAAGTTTATTGTACTTCACACTCTAAACAAATGATAAAATCCTTTCCATTTTCCAGCTGAGAAAATAAGAATCCCAGGAGGCTGAGCAGCTTGATTTATTTTGAGCTGTATGTTCACTATTCCATGATTACTTTTTCAGTAGTGCATGTTGATAAATGATGCTGGTTTGCTTTTAAAGTCCGGTGGAAAATGAAGAGAAGCCACAGACTCTTTAGGCCAGCAAAGGAGCACTTGCCATCTGCTTTTCCATGTAGCAACAATGGCTTTGATTAGAGTTTGTATGGACAGACCTCAGAACTCCTTGAGAGAGAAGCGATTATTTCCTCCACAGAGGGTTGTCAGTGTTGGTCTGTGCCCTGCAGAATCTACTGCAGCGAGGCGGGGGGCGGGGGGGGGGGGTGGGGACCTGGTGGATCAGAGAGTTTTTTTGTTTTTTTTTCTTTTAGGAACAAAATGTTCTGTTCATGGAGTCCTTTGAGGCTCAGTGTGCTTCTCCTGTGGATCACAGAGAACATGTCCAAATGGATTTTAGGTATCACTGCAAACCATGTCTACTTGACATTTGTATGCAGTTCTGTTTGTGTGTGTGCATATGTCTATGTGTATGTTACGGGTTAGTGTGTGCATGTGGAGATCAGAGGACAACCGTGGATGTCATTCCTCAGGACACCATTCACCATGTTTTTTGTTTGTTTGGTTTTTTGTTTGTTTGTTTTGTTTTGAGACAGTCTCTCTCACTGGCCTGGAATTTGCTGTTCTAGCTAGCCTCAGGAGCCCACCTTTCCCTACCTCACCAGTGCTGCGATTACATGCCAGGCTCTTTTATGTGCACTCAAACTCAAGTCTTTAGGCAGCAAGAATTTTACCAACTGAGTTTTCTCTCTAATGCTATGGTTCTGATTTTAAGCACTACAACAAAGAAATCCACATTTATGTAGACACAGAAGCCCCCATGTCTATGGGAACTTGTTGCCTTCTGACTTCAGCTTAAGGCCTGCATGATGACTTCTCCCTGGGAGGATGTGGCCACCCAGAAGGAGATGCGTGGAGTGGGAGGGGAAATGGAGCAGGGTGTCCTCATTAGCCTGCCTGGGCAGGGAGGGAAGAGCTGGTGTGCCAGTCAGAAGTTCTGGGTTCAAGGATGGCTGGGATCTTCCTAATATTGTAGCCAGGGACAGGCTAGGTTCTCCTAGGATACCCATTTGGAGAGCCGGACATGATCTTGTTTGTCCCGATTCCTGTCAGGGCGGAGCCAGATAATGTGTATTAGTAAACCCAGGCACTAGATAGACCAGGAGCATATTGTACATTCTCCCTTCAGCTTTCCTCCTGGGCTCTTTTTCAGTTCAAGTACATGTCTTGGGTATGAGTCACAGAGTGATGTCCATGAAAGCAAAGATCACATGTCCTTATGTAGCTATGTTCCCAGTACCTAACACAGTACTTATGAATAAATGAATGAGAAAATCCAAGCACAAATAAATGGCTTTCTTTTACCTTTTGAAACATAAAATGTTTGGCAACATTTAACTTTCCTAATAATATCAGTGAACTCAGTATCGCTGACTCTGTACTGGAAACTCTGTCAAGCACTTCATATTACTACTACTACTACTACTACTACTACTACTATTACTATTATGCCATATGACTCTTAGTCACCTTTCTGGTACTGTGTCCAAATACTTGCGACAATTAACTTACAAGGAGGAAAGGTTCATTTTGGCTTGAGGTTTAGAGGTTTCAGCCCATGCTCATTGACTCTAATTGCCTTTGGGCCTGTAGTGAGGCAGTACATCATAGTTGGGAGTGTGTAGCAGAGTCAGATGCTCACCTCATGACAGCTCTGAAGCAAAGAAAGAAAGAGGAGAGACCAGGGTCCCAGTAATTCATCAAGGGCATGCCTCCATATGAGTGAAAGACTTTCAAGTAGGCCCCACTCTTTAAAGGTTCTGCCACCTCCCAAGGACCATGGGCTGACCACCACATCTGTAACAGATGGACCTTCTGGGGACACTTAGTTAAACCATAGCAATACCATATTCTGGAATTGCTATATCATTTTGTATTGGCTTGTGTAATCCTTACCAGCAGCTGTGTGAGGCACATCCCAAGAATCAGCCCATTGTTCCAGTTGAGGAAAGTCAGGCTGTGGTTCAGTCATTCACCCCATGACTCTTAGCCAGAATTTGAACCCATGTCTCTGGCTCAGTAGCCCAAGTTCTTTATCTTGGTGCCCAATTGCTTCTTTTGCTCTCATGACCAATTCTGCCCTCATGCCTTTCTCCTGGGTGTCCTGTCCTATGAGATCACTTCAGTCTTGAGGAAGCATTTCCTTAACAGAGTAGATGAGTAACCTGCCTTTAATGAAGAAATTCAGATGCAGTGAAACTGGCTGCCTTTGCTGCATGTTTCCAGAGGCTTCTTTCTGCTTCCAGCTCTTCTCACCTTTGGGTTCACCATGCAGAATGATTTGCTTCGATGACAAACGTACCTAAGGTTAATATGTTCTAAGTTCTCCAGATACACAGATTCATTTGGTCTTCTGAACAACCTCAGGGGTGGGCACTATTATTTTTATTCTTATTGCCATTTCTCATTTAATAGATGAGAAGATGGACCTAGAGAGAGCAAGTCACTTTCCCAGGCTGCTCAGGTGGATTTGGTAGGCATGGGATTCAGCTCCAGGCAGTCTGGCTGAAGGCCACGGTCTTAATTACTGTGCTCTGCTGCTCACTGGCAGCTCCTGTTCAGTTGCAAACCTTTGTGAGCTGAACATTTGTTAATTGCAGGATGTTCCCATCCTTTGCACCTGACCCGGAGCTGTCACAACCGATCCCCTTCTTATGTTGCCTCATTTCTAGGAATTGAGAGCAAAGCTTTAATTCTTACCCCCTTTTCTCTATACATGGGGGACTGCGTGAGGGCTCTACCCTCTGAGTGTTTGTGTCCCTTTTGATTTAGGACATGTGTGTGGATTATTCAGGATAGAATGAGACTGTTGTCACTTCCCATCGTCAAAGGGCTACATCAAGGCGTAGGTCTGCAGCTTTTGTTGGAGAAATGAAGTGACAGTTTGGCTATAGTGTGGCCCCATGTATGTATGGTGGAGAGGTACCATCTGATCCTAGTGTCCCCCAGACCCCGACTCCACCTTCATCCTCAGTCTGTATCCTTCCCTGACCTTTGGAGTGAGGGGATGCTGTTTTTCTGTGCTAAATTGGGGCAGAGCTTCATGAATAAAAAATCTATGCCAGTTTGTTTTTAGGAATATTGGAAAGAATGTTCTTGTATCTTGCATTTTCTTCATAGAACTTATTGAAGGTCAGAAATGATGGTTAGAAAACAATGTCTTAAGATACAGTGGGGTATGCCTCTAGTCTCAGCTACAAAGGAAGATCTCTTGAGCCTAGGAAAGTTGGAGCTAGCCTGGGCAACAGAGCAAGAGCTAAGAACAAAGTGACGGAAGGAGGGAGGAAAAGAGGAAAGATGAAGAGGAGGGAGAGAAGAAGGGAAGGAGGGAGGAAATAATTTCAATGCAGTTTGTTTGGAAGAAATAAGACTATAAACATCATTAGGAATACCATAAAGTTTCCGAGTCTTATAAATTCTTAGACTCAGTTTGTTCTGTAAAGAACTGTAGATCTGTGGAGCAAACAGCAATAGGGAAAGAATTACCTCACTTAAAAGAAGTGGGATGTTTCTATTCAATGCTATTTTTAATAGTTTAAAATAAAACAACCCCAAACCAAGTATTACATCTGTGTTTAATTTCCTTTATTGTGATTTCTGTTATTGTAACTTCATGTAATAAACTTTGCACTTGATATTGTGAAAATATCTTGTTGCAAGGTGTTGAAAGCTCACGACAGTAATAAATACATTTCTGTATAAACATAAAGTAGACAAAGAGAAACAGAGAGAAGGGTCTGTTCCCTCCTCCAGCTTCTCCTGTGTCATTCCAGCATGAAGTTCTTCAGACACACCGGGGGAAGTGAGATGCCTCGGTGAGGCTGTTAACTGAAGAGCTTATTGTGTGGGAAGGCTTTGATTACAGTCATTAGAAGCAAGGATGTATTCTCTACCTCTGCTTTTGCTTCAACCTCCACAAGATCATGCAGAAAGTGTCATACAGTAGCTCTTACCAATTCTGAACTGTTGTTTTTTAATACTAGATTTCCTGTTTTCCTCACAAGGTTCCATGTCTCTGAGCTCAAGCCAGTGTTCACTGGTAGCGCTGTACAGCTGGGTACAGAAGGAGAGGACATCCCCTGAGACACTGGAGTCAGTCCTCTACATGCTATCATCTCTGATGGTGTGTTGGTGTCACCAAGTTCCATGAGTGAACATCAAGAGGCCACAGTGACAAGTCTGGTGGCCTGTGAAAGAGAACACAGGTAGATAGAGGCACGGCTGTCTCATGGGAGCGCCACACTCTCACGGCCCTTTTTTTGCTTTTGGATAGAATTTGGATTAGACCTCTAGGGTTTTGTTTTGTTTTGTTTTGTTTTTCTGTCCTAAGAACATAGGATTTCTAATCCTAAAATCTAAAATCTGAAATCTTTTAAAAATATTTTATAGGCATATATTATTTATGCTTAATAATAGGGTTCAATTATAACATTTTCATACATGTAAATGATGCAGTTTGGTCATATTCATCTTCCCTCTAACCCTCTATTACCCCTCTCCTACTCTCACTGATCACATTCCTTTTGCCAGCTAGTCTCCCTTCTACTGTTATAGCTTTCTCTCTGTGTGTGACCCAGTGAATTTCATTAGGGTTGCTTTCAGGAGCATGGGCCAGCAGTTATTTACAGGGAATGGGCACCTTACCAGGGTCGCACCACTGAAAAGACATCTTTCTCTTCCTCATCCACCATTAACTATGTATAAATCCTCAGGGAGAGGTGAGTCCTCATCTCCTGCCTCATGAGGCCCTACTTCTCTATGATAGGAGGCTAATGGGCCTGATCTTGGCAGGTCTGGTATGGGAAATCACAGTTTAAGTGCAACAGGCATGTCTTCCAGGGCATAGAAGACAATGTTCCACAAGATCCTTCCCTTTCCTGCAGCCCTTGAATTCTTTCTCCACCTCTTCCATGATGTTCTGAGCTTTGGCGATGGTGATATAGATGTCCCACTTAGGCTGAACATGCCACAGTTATGTATTCTCATCACTTTGACCAGTTATGAGCATCTGCAGGTGCCACGGCCTGCTATAAGATGCTTCTCTGTTGAAAGCTACAAAGACACTCATCTGTAGGCATAAACACTTAGAGGGCAGTTCATGTGTAAGCCCAAGTCCTTCACCCTGACAGCTGGAGTCATTTGTAACCTGATTCCCTTACTTTATCAGCCCTTGTACCCACGCTCTCTTTTCTGGTGGACTGGTTTTTCCCTTTGGACTTTATGCCCATGTTTCCCCTTGGGTCTCCCTCTCCTAACCCTTTGAATACACTCCACGATTTCTTTTCTTGCCCAGGTTCTGCCTAGTAAGATTTACTTCATGTATCTCACCAGCAAGGCTTT